CTTCTCAAAAATATTCAGAAATGTACTCAGCAATAACTATTTAAGTCAATAAAAACTATTATTATTATTACTGACATTTGTATTATCATCATCACAAAAATCATCACCTTTAGCATATTAATCATCACCATAATCATAACTATCATTACGCAGATCAGCTGCCAAAATGGCGCTGATGGTAATGATGACAGAATGCAAATTTACTACAAAAATTCGATCCACTGTTATCGTAATCAATCTGAAAACAATTACGTTACCTGTTACTAATTACTACTAATAGTACCTGTGATACTCACAGGTCTTACTATTCTTATATTCATCACTATTATTATTAACATTACCGGCGCCATAAGTATTATGTATGACAATAAATATTATCATTAAAAAAATCAGTCGAAAGAAACGTTAGCTGCAGGGTAGTGGTGAACTTCGTACTGAAGTGTAGGTAGTGAAAATATCACCATCCCCATCTTTTTATTGTCATTTTGAATGTTATTCCATTCCCTCAACATCTCAAGCGTTCACCACCATTTCGAGACCAAGTCATGTATGTAAATGCAATGTCTTTCATTCCTTTCTATCAACGTCTAAAGCGTTTCCAACCGTTCCCGACAAAACGAGTTGTATAATAATTCAACGATTGTCATCTCATTCCATCAAGTTTCTAAAGTGTTTTCACAAAAAACGTTACTGCCAAACAGTATCATACAATTCAACGGTTGTCATCAAATTCCATAAACATTTAACATGTTCCTGACAAAGCAAGAAAAATCAACAAATGTCATTCTATTTCATCAACAATAAGTGTTGAAAAAGTTCTTTACGAAATTTTCACACACCACGTTCCAACCGCTAACACAAAGAAACGACGGAAACGCAAGCCGCGGCTGTTCAACTGTTGTTTTTTATTTACCTCTTGTGAAAATGTATAAAATTTTCCTCGAGGCTTGCATACGTTTAGCCACGACAACTAAGTTTTGCATTATTATTATTAATTGTGTTCGTTACACTGAGTCTAATTTCAAGTGGTTCGCACACTGGAAACCAACTCCTGTCACGCGTCTATTTAGGTCTACTCTGTGTGAACCATGCTTTATTATAAACGACTGACTCCATCCAGATAAAACGTAAACATCCAATGCAGTCTACATTTTATTGGATGTTATGTAGCATAGTCAACATATTCATGTACGCACACGTGAGAGCATGTGCGGTATTGTACGCGCAACTAAACGTCAGTTCATCAACAAACGTAAACATCCGGGTCTCTCTGCATTGGATTGGTTTTGATGTAGCATTTAGTTACACGCGCACGTTTACACCTGTATACTTTAAACGTGTAACTGATGTGTCAGTTTGTGAGATAAGGCCTGATCAAGTTTTTACATATTCCTATCCGAATTTTGCCAGTAGACTTGTGAAATATATGAGAAAATATATGCGCATACAAATTAATGTGAATTAACTAACCATAACTGCAGAGCTTATACGAAGGATGGATCCTAAGATTATATTGACGTCACTGAAATAGAACCAACGATCTTAATATAAAATGCTATGCTCTATTTATACCATACCAGGCAATTCACGACGTATTATTTAATTTAAATTACTTCTGTTGAGAATTGATTATCTAGATTAGGTCTAAATTACTATTATCTTTTGCTTCCGAGTCATTGTTTACTTGTCATGGATTGGATATAGGTTTAAGTTTCAATATTCATCATTAAATTTATAATATAGGCCTAATGATACAAATTCATCTTTAAAAACATTTCTCGATGAAGCACAGCTATAGAAATATTGAAATGCGCGACATGTCAAAAACATAATTGGTAATACATGAGTACCGATGAGCAATCGCTCATAGTTGAGAAATTATCTGATAAAAATACTTTGTGACAGGTTTTTCAATTAATTTACAGAAAAAAAAACCGATATTCACTAGTCGAAGTGGTTGAGCAACAAGCTATATACGCCATGATGTGCTAACCACAGACAGGGACAGAAGTCAAATCTCGACTTCCTTTTAAATTTGTATTTCGTTCATCTACACGGCGGCGGTCTTACTGAGCAACGGTTGATTGATATTTTGTGATGTTCCTAGATTTATTACAGACGACAAACGAACGATCGCGCTAAAACTTGTTGCTACTCGGCGCTCGCGCCTTTCAATAACACAAGTTGCAAATCCTCTCTTTCAAACTTGGCTCAAATTACTTTCTAGATGCTGTAATTGGCATTAGTTTTCGAATTCAGTCCGTCAGAATCAAATTATTAAATGTGTTTCTCCTACTTACTTATCTTCTAAATATCATTTAAAGGTACTGAGTAAAATGACAACCATAACGTACACAGCTGAGCAGGCCAACATACTCACTTATCTCAATTAGGATTGTGTTGATAGACAAAATGTTGACGATTTTAATGACGATGTACACAAAACTATTTTAACGCAGCCAACATCAAGGAAATTCTTTAGTCTTTATTGGAAAAGAATATACAACTAAGTTTTTGTTCACCATAGTATTGATACTGAACAGCGCAAGTATCCGCAGGGTAAAACTTGACAAAATAATCACATGGAACGCACACATTGATTATGTTCGCAAGATGGCTAATAAGCGTCTATAACTTCTCATAAACTGAAGTAATTTCAGTCTAATCACCATGTTTTACACCTGTTATAGTACTATTTAGTTTTCAAAGAAATGGCAATTGTGTGTGGTGTGCCAGTTTAATAGACTACAGTAAGACATTTATGATAAGTATTTCGGTGTGAATCACACCAATGATAACCCAGGAAGTCTGAAAAAGAAGACTTGTTTAGGGATCCTTCTGGTAGTGAATTGGGCAGTACACTCCGAGGGACCATCCCTACTCTTTTCCACCGAAGAGTGTATTAAATAATCAGCTTCCCTTTCATTTTCATACATTTAAATTTAGCCAATAAAATTCATGATACTAGGTTTTAACTGTAAAAAAAATTGTACTACGAAAGCAATACTACTATATTGAGAAAGAAATCTAGTACCGGTATTTAAAATAAATGGGCCATATTTATGGAACAATTTATCCTTTAACCTTAATTATACCACACCTTCAATAATATAAATTGTTGATTCATATGTATGCCTTTGTTTTCATTTATTCTCTATTAAGTAGTAGATAAACTATAGAGAATAGGGCCTACAATTCTATTTCAATTACATTCCTTGTCTTTCTGATTATTATTCAAATATTCTACATGTTACACCAAAAAAGTATTCAATTATTATATTATTATTATTTTTTTTTTTTCGGGTTTTTTTTATATTTAATTTAATTATTATTATTATTTTTATTATTATTATTATTATTATTATTATTATTATTATTATTTTATTATTATTATTTATTATTTATTATTTATTATTATTATTTATTATTTATTATTATTATTATTATTCTTAAGCTCTAGCCATTCACTGACTCAGTAAATATTTTGCTTGGACGATAAGACTTAAATCCTTCCTTCTGGCGTCTTGTTTCCTCCACATACAATGAAACCTCACTGTGTCTTTAATCATAAATTTGTATCTTTATCGTGAAGTTTCATTTTGTCCATATTATTGCTATTTTTAATTTATGAACCCTACTCTTCAATTTTATTATTATTATTAATTTAATAGATCAGCATTAAGCAGTATATATATATATATATATATATATATATATATATATATATATACTGTAGTCATTATATAATCTTATTCAATCACTTAATCAGTCAACAATTAATCAAATCATTTATTAATAATTCAATCCATATGATTATACTGCTTACATCTTCTTATTTAAAATTTAAAAATTAGTTGGATTGCCCGATTAATAGTACCATCATCATAATAAGAACGTTACACGTCTTTCAACATCTTGCGTTTTACCAAATCTCAGTATTTGTCACAATCTTAGCAAGACAGTATATGTTAGACCCATGTAGAAGAAATTCATTGTTTTGTCTCCAAATATTTTTCAGTCTTTGTGATTTTTTATTTATTTTTTTTAAAAACTTTTCTGTTTCCTTCTTCAAAAGCTGAGTATGCTGAAGTACCGCTCTGTAGTTTTGAGTACATAACCATACCATTTAAGCTTCCGCATTCCAATTATCATACTCCATTCCACCTCTCTTGTATCTTGTATTAAATAAGTTGAACTTCGAACGATTCTTAAAACAATTTAGTTTCTGATGATTAAAAGACTTTACTTTAAAAAATCATAGTCTCTAAAAATTCATTATCTCTATCTATTATTATTATTATTATTTTTATTATTATTATTTTATTATTTTTATTATTACTTTTTAATTCTATTATTATTAATTATTATTATTATTATTATTATTATTATTATTCGATGTCGAATTATAAAACGTGTAGGTTTGACACCTTGACCTCTGATGATTAATGTCCAAAATTTACTACAAACTTGTAAAATATAATAGTCAGCCATTATGATTGTTATATAATTGTTGGTACAATTGTAAGGTGCTCCGGACCTCTTTGATTTTCTTCCTTCTTTCTATTTTTTGTAGATTTAAAAAAACAATATCATAATTGTAACATTATTTAATTTTGCTCTATTTAAATACAATTTATTATTAAATATTATAAACTTAAATGATTATTTCCTTTATGTTTGTATTTTTTAATTAATACCTCAACAATTATAATTATTAAATTACACACTAAATGTAACTTTATGTAGATTAGATCAATAAATATAGTAATCTATTTTTTAATAAGAATAACATTTTTCAATCTTCTAATAAATTTTATATAGCCGGAGTTAGTTTCGACCTAGTAAAACCTTGCTAAGGTACATTTTCTCTATCAAAGGGCTTCTTCTAAGGATGGAATGACCTGTTCGAAGCACAAACTCCTGTAGACCAGACCCAATACCGTTGCGATTTTTATCCAATCATGATGTAATATATAATTAATTGACGAGGAAATCTTCAATTTTATTATTATTATTAATTTAATAGATCAGCATTAAGCAGTACAAACTGAAGTTAGCCTTAGAGAAAAACAAATATAAAACTATAAAACAACTTTAGTTACACTCATGACAAGAAGCTTTTTGTGATTATGGTCTATCCACGCACACTCGTTTGTTTACACAATATTTCCAAAGAAAGAATCTATTTGAATGTTTGTCACATTAAGCAGTAATAGAAAACAAAGAATAACACTCAACAACAACAATAATAATAATAATAACTATAATAATAATAATAATAACAATAATAATAATAATAATAATAAAAATAACAATAAAGATACAGCAGCAAATAATAAAAAAATAATAATATTGATAATAACAATAAATGCGATGATGACAACGACGGTTATGAAGCTGCTGCTGATAATGGTAGTAATAATAATAATAATAATATTATAATTTGCATCACAACACTACAATCATTCGTTTCTATCTTTTGCCTACATCGACGCAAATAAGGAAGCGCTGTTACGCATGAAACAAGATACAATCTGAACAACTCATAAAATAACCCTTTCTGCAAAGCTTGCCCCTTTGGATATTTTTGCCATAGCCCATAAGGTCCCACAAAACGATGGTGTAAAAACACATGCAAAAACGTACATGTACAACACGTGTACTTGTGAGACGCATGTATTCCTAACCCATTTCTGATTGGTCGGTTTTTAAGTTTGTGACTCCGGAAAGGTCCGTGGATAATTACTGAAGGGGAATACAGTCGTATAAAGAATTTATAGATTTCATGGATGCCAAACAGACAAAAAAAGAAAACATTTGGAATTCTGTGTATTAAAGTACAGTAGTATTATTTTTTAGTGTCAAGAAATAAGGATATGGTGTGACTAGATGACTTAAATCTAAAACCTGAGTAGACTAGACCTAAATTATATCAGTGCTTGGGTTGACCCATATGTATGAACCAAGCCAATTCATATTCTAAAGCAATCACACTTAAGTGTTTTAGTGCTGGGCCTAGTAATGTGTTGAAATTAAAAATGTTATATAGTCATAGATTAGGAGGCTGGGATTTGCATGACCCACTGTAATTTGATTAAATTTAAAAAAAAAAAAATCTTTCCTGCACTTAGGCCATTTTTATTATTGCACTAATCAGTCCTTTGTGCACTAATTATCTGGTAGTTTGTAAAAACTAATATACTAATTGTTCATCATCTATATATGAAGATGCTGGGATTAAAACCTTTCTATTTATTTATATGAAGATGCTGGGATTAAAACCTTTTAAACTTTCAATTTATTGATATTTATAGCTTGGTGGGTATTACTGCATCACTACAACAGTCATGTTCACACTGTCTTGTACAGTACATAAGAACATACATTACCAATTTATGATCATGTAGTTCGGATTTAAACGCTTACCAAAAGATTGGATTTCTTTTTAATGGGGCCAATGACCGTGACAGAATGTGGCTGCATGTTGGAAGCCGGTAATCAGATGGGTATCCAGTTGTTGTGTGTATAGTAAGAAAAAAAAAATCATAATGTTTATCGACTTAGTTACAAGCCAATTCATTTTCTAAAGGATAGTTAGCCGGCTCGTCCTCTGTTGAGAATTGTTTATTTAGCCATTGAATTGATGATCGGTGAGATGCATCTGCAGGGCAGCTCTCGAGGAGTCCGTCAAGATGATTTTGAGCACGTTGGATGTATGCTCCTAGAGAAGATGAAATGCAGACAGATTAGCAACAAACAATAAAAATTCCTTTCTGCTAATTCCAAGTAAATGCCAGTGCTATTATAACATTTCAAAACAACTAGATATAAAGATTGCCAA